GTACTTATAGAGTACCTATTTTGTTTCCAGCATTACAAAAAGCAGAGCTCTATTTGGGTACCAAAGTAATTTAGAATTTTAACATATAAGCTCTGTGTAATATTTCCATGACTACACCACCATCTTGATGGTTTCACTTTTAAATCTGGAACTTCAATTTAATCTAAAGGAAAGACATTTAGGAGGTCTTGCTTATTAAAGAAATGTAGTAGGCAGATTTTTAAATCACCCTAAATTCAAAACATATAATCAACTCTACAACTGGAAATCTTACGCATAAAACGGCTTCCTTATAGTGAGCTAGATAATAAAAACAGAGATGTACTTGATACAATGTATAAATGATCTGTTGACCAGTTACTGAATCAGAAGAGGTTTTTAAATGATACAATTTGGGGACAGTCTAGGTAGGTGTCAACTTTTCTTAAGATTTCACTTCAGACAAAGGTGTCTGTGAGTTTTAGATTTATAATAGAAATTGAAATCTAAAGCTAATTTTCCCAGGAGAAGCTATCTTCTAAGTGAAGGCCTGTGTGCAGAGCCTCCTCAAGCTGTGGAGGCAGAGGGCCCTGGGTGCTGAGCTCACCAGCGTCTCGTGCAGGGGTTAAGACCTGAACCAAGGCATGTGTCCTCTCCCTCCTAATGGCTGCTCAGAGAGGGCAGCCATGGCCACAGGCCACAAAGCACATTATCTATATAATCAACAGTATTTCATGAAGTTCATGGGAAATAGTTTGTAAACAGCTCTGACTTTATGAATACATTTGTTTATAAAATTTAGTAATGAAACTGTAAGAGCTCTTCACAACCTCTGAGTCCATGATACCAGTAGTATGGCTTCTGGAAAGAATTCAATCCAATCCAACCTACAAAAAAGCCAAATATTATAAATAATTCTAGACTGGGTGAGAAGCTACTTAGGACAAGCTCAATTTAGTTGCAAAAAGTGTATTAGTGAGTATCTGCCAGCAAACACTGTAACAACAACAAAATTCCATAGACAATTTTTCAAGAGATCCATAAAACTAACCGTTCAATGGAAAACATAACACGCAGAAGCCACCTCATCTTTTATGAGACACATTCACTGAAACACTGGTTTTTTCACTGCACTCACACCTCAAAATGTTTCCGTTTCCAAAGGTAAATCAAAAATACTGGGGCTTCCCTGGTGGCACAGCGGTTGAGAGTCCGCCTGCCGATGCAGGGGACACGGGTTCGTGCCCCGGTCCGGGAAGATCCCACATGCCGCGGAGCGGCTGGGCCCGTGAGCCATGGCCGCTGAGCCTGCGCGTCCGGAGCCTGTGCTCCGCAACGGGAGAGGCCACAACAGGAAGAGGCCCGCGTACCGCAAAAAAAAAAAAAATACTGCAGGTGGGAAATCACCAAATCATGCCATCACATTAATGTTTACGAAGAGATCCAACTGCAAATATTTCGTTTATTTCTTTTTTTTAATTTTATATTGGAATATAGTTGATTTACGATGTTGTGTTAGTTTCAGGTGTACAGCAAAGTGAATCAGTTATACATATACATGTATTCATTCCTTTTCAGATTCTTTTCCCATACAGGTTATTACAGAGTACTGAGTAGAGTTCCCTGTGCTATACAGTAGCTATACAGCTCCTTGTTGGTTACCTACCTTAAATATAGTAGTGTATATATGTTAATCCCAAATCATTTATTTTTTTCTTAAATTATCAGAGTAGAATGAAAAAGAAAAAAGTCACTTACATTCCTGCCTCATAATAGTAACAACAACAATAATAGCTAACATCGTACTCATTACAACCCAGGCACTATCCAATGAGTTAATTCAGGCTTTCACAGTTATTAACTGATTCAATAAATTAAAATTTTAAATTTTTTCAAATATTCTTTCAGTACTTATCCCATAGGCTCATAAAATATCAGTCATTCATTCATTCAACAAACATTTTCCAAGTACTTACTACACGCCCAGCACTATGCTAGGTTCTGTGGTTTCCACGCTGAACAAGACAGAGGGAACCAACAGTCCCTGAGGAAGATAGACAATTAAAAAGTGCTACCGGGCGAGTGTGGTACCCACTCAGACAGGGGAAGGCAGGGAGGGTGCTGTGGAAGCACAGAATTGGGACTCCAAACCCATCCAAGAGGGGCTTACCATCCTTGTAAGCTATGATCTACACTGAGTCAGCTGGTGGACGGGAGGTAGAGGAGGACAGGCATGTACCACTATGACCAGCAGGCAGTGCTCAATGTTTAGGCTTTGTCCTGAGGGGAATGGAAATCCTTAGAAGGGTTTTACACAGTGAAATGGCACCATCAGATTTTCTTCTGCAGAGAACTAGAAGAGCTGGCAGGGAGGCAGGAGTGGGAATAACAGGGAAACTGGTTAAGATGTGAGTACAATAATCTGAGCAAGAGATGGCAAGGGGGTAAAAGGCAGAGGAGTAGAAGCATCAGTTCAGGGGGTAACAGACAAGGAGTCAGGGATAATGCCTACACCAGGAGTCCCCAACCCCCGGGCAGTGCCTGTTAGAAACCCGGCCTCACAGCAGGAGGTGAGCAGCGGGCGAGCAGCGGGCGGGCGAGCGAAGCTTCATCTGCTGCTCCCCATTGCTCGCATCACCACCTGAACCATCACATCCCCACCCCCACCCCCCCACTGCCCCCCAGCCCATGGAAAAATTGTCTTCCACGAAACTGGTCCCTCATGCCAAAAAAGGTTGGGGACCACTGGCCTGCACTTTTCACTGGGAGCAGACGGCTCAGTCTGATGACTCAAAAACACCAGAAAAGAAACACTATGACATTGTTCTGTTTTGGCTGCAGCCCGTGGAGGGAGATGGGGAACAGACGAGGATGAGTTTCAGACACAAACAGCTGGGGGACCTTTGAAATATCCAAGTAGACTCTCCAGAAAGCACTCATCTCTACAGGGCTGAGGCAAGTTGGAAGATACTGTTTTGACAGTAGTAATTTATCAAAAATAATGAAAAGTAAAGAGGCCCTGGGTAACCACTGGGCTGCCCATATTTAAGGGTCAAGCAGAGAAAGAGAGGAGACTGGAAGGCAGAAGGACCTCGGGGCATCACAGAAGGCGAAGGAACCAAGACACTGACCCTCTGTATAGAGATCAGGGTCCACTGGACCCAATTTTAATTTCTGAGTTTCTTTCATGAGTAGCTCTAACCAATATTGTAAAGATATTTCATGATTTTCATTTTTTCTTAGAGGCCTTCCATAAAATCACAGAAAACATATTTTGCAATACAATAAAACTCATTTCTACCTTGCAATTATCATATAGGTTCATTGCATCTTTGTATAAGGCTAAGACACAATATAGACTCCTAATGATCTTAATGAAACATTTTACTATATTATCCTAGAACTTATTTCATCATGACTCAGCAATTATTCCCAACTGTGCTAAAAAAGGTTCAAATAATATGAAAACAAAATGATGGAATCACCTAGAAAAATGATGCCACAGTGAAATAAACCTTCATTATTTTATCAGTTTTCTTATTGTACTGCTTGATGTATTACATCATCACTCATGAATACATAAAAGTAGTCTTTTGGTTTTTGCTTTCCTTGAACACAGTTGAGATTTGAGATTTTTTTTTCACTTTCTGATTATGTTAGATAGAATAGCCCCCCAAAATGTCCAAATCCTAATCCCTGGAACTGGTGAATATGTTAGGCTACATGGCAAAGGGGAATTAAGGTTACTAAGCAGCTGACCTTCAAATAAGGAGATTATCCTGGATTATCCAGGTGGAGCCCAAGTAATCACAAGGGTCCTGGAAAGTTGAAGAGGGAGGCACAGATGAAGAGAAAGAGACGTGATGATGGAGGCAGGGTCAGAGGGAGGTTATCCTGCTGGCTGTAACAATGGAAAAAGAGGAACACCAGTCAAAAAACTGGGTGCCTTGTAACAGACTGAATGTTGGTGTCCCCACAAAATCCATGTGTTGAAACCCCACTGCACCCCCACTACCCTGCCACATGATGATATTAGGAGGTGGGGCCTTTGGGAGGTAGTTAGGATGAGATACGGTCAGGAGGGTGGTGTCCTCATAAATGGGGTTAATGTCCTGATAAGAGTCAAGGGAGAGAGCTGGCTTGCTCTCTGCTCTCCACCATGTGAGGACACAAAGGTCTGCAGCCCGGAAGAGGAACCCAACTGTGCTGGCACTCTACTCTAGGACTTCCAGCCTCTAAAGCTGTAAGAAATGAAGTTTTGTTGTTCATGAGTCCTCCATTTGTTATTTTTGTTAGAGCAGCTCTGCTAAGACAGGCCTCTAGAAACTGAAAAAGGCAAAGAAATGGATGTTCCCATAGAGCCTCCAGAAGGGAATGCAGCTCTGCCAACATCTTTTTTTAAAAAAAATTATTTATTTTTACTTTCTATTTTTTTTGTGTTTTTGGCTGCATTGGGTCTTAGCTGCAGCGTGCGGGCTCTTTGTCATGGCACTCGGGCTTCTCTCTAGTTGTGGCATGCGGGTTTTCTCTTCTCTAGTTGTGGTAGGCAGGCTCCAGGGTGCGTGAGCTCTGTAGTTTGCAGCACATGGGCTCTCTAGTTGAGGCGCATGAGCTCAGTAGTTGTGTGGCGCGGGCTTAGTTGCACCGCGGCACGTGGGATCTTAGTTCCCCAACTAGGGATTGAACCTGTGTCCCCTGCATTGGAAGGCGGATTCTTCACCACTGGACAACCAGGGAAGTCCCTCTGCCAACATCTTGATGTTAACCCAGGAAGACCTGTGTCACACTTCTGAACTACAGACTGTAATGTGACAAATCTGTGCTGTTTTAGGTTACTGAATGTTTTTAATTTGTTACAGCAGTGATAGTAAACTAATACACTGCCTATAGTAGAAGAAAGAAAACTGACAAAAAGATGATTCTCACGTATTAGATGAATCAGAAGATGAATGTGAAGAACTGAAAGCAGCACTCCAGACTCTGATGATGGTGGTGAAATGGATCTATAAACACAACCACAGGCTAGTACCTTCAGATGACAGTATCCCAGGTGAACTTTCTCAAAATCAGGACCTGATGAGTAAATAACATACTTTGAAGGACAAAAAGGAAATATGGCATACTCACCCCATCAGTCATTTGACAACAGGGACATCTCACGCACATGGCGTCCTGTAACAAGAACCTGTACATCCCACGTGCTAGGGACACACGGCAGTGTTCTCCCTCATCTTTTATGCTGAAGTATATGTGACCCAAATGCCTAAGGCTGGCTTATGAACAAAGATGACTAGAAGGAAATAGTATTTATGGGATGTATAAGTCAAAAAACTAAAAAAATTTGAAATTATGGAGCAAAAAGCATGACTATCCTCTCGTCAAAAAAAATTAGTAGCCAAAAAAATCAAACTTTTCAAAAACGTATTTTATGGATGCAAGTATAAGAACAAGGATTGCTGGTGCAGGGGGACTGACTGGAGGTGTGTTGGAATCTGGAGCAATACTGACAAGATAGGTGTGTCCCAGGTCAACAATGAATTAGTTTCATTCAAACACATTGTATATAAAACTTCGAGTTTTATGAATTTCAAGTATTAAACTTTCGTAACAGGGAAACAGAATAAAAATTGGGACTTGCTATGTTTAATTATTAAAATTTCTAAGGTCACTCTCCCTTTGTTCTTCCGTAAATTTTTTTGAATATGATTTTTAAATATAAAAATAAATAAATAAAAGGTATCCACAAATGACTATCTTTTCTGGGACAGTTTGGGTTAAAGAAGGCATGGTCAGGCTTCCCTGGTGGCGCAGTGGTTGAGAGTCCGCCTGCCGATGCAGGGGACACGGGTTCATGCCCCGGTCTGGGAAGATCCCACATGCCGCGGAGCGGCTGGGCCTGTGAGCCATGGCCGTTGAGCCTGCACGTCCGGGGCCTGTGCTCCGCAACAGGAGAGGCCACAACAGTGAGAGGCCCGCATACCGCAAAAAAAAAAAAGAAGGCATGGTCATTATTGCTGAATGCTAAGATGAGCAGTGAAAATCACCTATTGGTTTTTATGTTAACATCTTATGAAATTCTGCTGTCCAGAAATATCTTTGATTCACATAAGGTCAGAGAGAGGATTAGAACAAATAAAAATCATTGCTCCTTATCACTGATGCATTAAACATAGCTTTTATTTCCAACTTTTACTTCCAGGACAGTTATTTCTTTAATCAAGTGTTCATTAATTACAAAATAGGGTCCCTAACTTCAATGTGTTTATAATACAGTGATAGATGCACAAAGCAATTCAATAATACCAAACAGTTGTGTCTTCACTGGGTAAACTTGGGTTTGTAACCCTCTAAACCCTGCACACGTGGCTACCAAGCAAGGTTTGAAATGTGCCTACTCCTAATTTTGGCGTTCTGTTGGTATAAAAGACATACTGGATTGTGGGAGCTTAGGATGGAAAAAGTAACATAAACGACCTTGTTCATAGTTTTTATATCGATTGCATGTTAAGTAGATAATATTTATTTACTATATAGATTAAATAAAATATTTAAATTACTTTTACCTTTTAAAAGTAATGTCACATTTAAAAAATGTGGCTACTATAAGTTTAAAATTATAAAAATAGTTCACGTTATATTTCTATGGTCCAGTAAAACTTCCTGCAATGATGCAAATGTTCTCTGCACTTTCCAATAGTGTAGCCACTAGCCACATGGGACTACTGAGCACTTGAAATGTGGCTGATGCAACTGAGGAACTGAATTTTTCTTTCTAATTAAGTTAGTTAAAGTGACATGTGCATAGTGGCTGCCATTTTGAACAAGGCAGCCCTGGACATGTTTAGTTCCCTGTACTTCAGGTGAGTCACAGACAGGCAGCTGGTGATGAGCTGCTCAGATTCTTTATCTCCATTTACTGGAATGGAAGTTCAATGGGAATAAAATGTGATTCCGACCAGGAGCCCTTAGTATGTAGCACTTGGAACGAGATGATTTCTGTTTATGGAGAACAAAGGGCAATAATACATTAATGCTGAGCCGGGTCTATATCTCCATTAGAATAAACTGTCTTATTTCAGGTGGCCTTTTTTTGTTTTTCCATTTCCTATGTGATTTCATGATTTTTTCTTGCAAGGTATTTAAAGATGTTAATAGTAATAGCAATAAAATCAAAATAATAATGGCAACTGAAATATACTGAGTATTTATTATACACCAGACACGAGTACTTTATGTTTATTAGCTCACGTGAATTTTTACAAATAACAGATAAGCACTATTATTATCTTCATTTACCAGACAAGGAAACCTGAGCTTTGAGTAGGTGACGTCACACATTTCCAAGGCACACGGTGTGGCAAGGACTGGCCTGGAGCTAGGCCTCTTTAATTCCTGAAAAATACTTGCAACGACTATAGAATCCCACTTACTCCTTTCCACAATCAGAACACAGGAAAATCCTCCACACCCAGCAGAAATCCCCAGGGTCACAGGAGAGCTGTAAGCCCCACCAGTCACCTCACATGAGGTCACAACTGGGACCGGGAAGTGAGTGGGGATGGCTCAGCCCCTCCAGTCACCACCACAGGGAAAAAAAAAAAAAAGCTACAGGGCTTCCCTGGTGGCGCAGTGGTTGAGAGTCCGCCTACCAATGCAGGGGACACAGGTTCGTGCCTCGGTCCGGGAGGATCCCTCATGCCGCGGAGCGGCTGGGCCCGTGAGCCATGGCCGCTGAGCCTGCGCTCCGCAATGGGAGAGGCCACAACAGTGAGAGGCCCGCGTACCGCAAAAAAAAAAAAAAAAAAAAGATACAGCTTATAGCTCTGATTTCTTGCTCCTGAGCAATCACCTAAAATAAAATAACACCGGATACCTCACCCTCTGGCTCCACACCTCCTTTTCCAGAATGCCTATAAAAGATATTTAAATATTTAATAAAACTTGTAAATACTTAAAATAAAACTTTTAAATATTTAAAATAAAACTTTTAAATATATAAAATAAAACATATTTAAATATTTCAAATAAGGATTTTACACATTAGGAAGTGGCTTCTCCAAACAGTAGACAATGAAATGCTAAATTCTGTGCTTGGGATTCTAAGTGCTATCAGAATTGGAAAGGTAGACGTTAGCACAGCCTAGTGTGCCCAAGGAAAGCACCAAATCACCCCATCTCCTAAAAAAAAACTGCACATGAGAAAGGCTTTCAGTCTCCCCTGATAAGAAAATCCATGCATATTACTGACAATGACAGAGGGGGAGGATTTAGAAAGTGACAAAGCAAGAGAAATTAAGTGAATGAGTCTGGTTTACACCACACATTTTTGCTACATGTTCCCTCTTTGCCCGCCCCCAGCCTCCAAAGTTAAAAGATCTATTCATGAATACACACCCATCAGAGCAACCAACAAGGAAGCCAGCCCCTTTCTGAACATGGAGGTTTCCGGGCTTCCTTGCCATCCCCTAATAAGAAGCAGGATTACACAGAAGCAGTATCAATGCTATAAGTAACACAAATAATGCAAGCAATAAACCAGCCTGTTGTACCTTCCCATTCCAGGAGATGGCTTTACAGACTATTCTGGGGATAAGCATGGGTCAATGGGGACCATTCACCACCACTCATGGAGGGTCCAGGAAAGGACCTTGTTCTAGACTTCTGGGGTGGAAATGCCAGAGGAGGAAGGACTTAGAAACCGTAAACCCTTCCTCAATTCAGAAAGTCCTTTCTAATCACCTCACTGTGGGGACAGAAAACTCCTTATCTCACAAGGTAGCCAGTTTCATTGGGGTGTGTGTGTGCATGGAGGGGGGGATTTATAGCCTGGAAAACTAGAGTTAAGTCTCCTGCTGCTGCCTTCCTATCAAATACTACAGACAATAGCATTCCTATCTCTTCCTTTTCCTGGCTCAGAACCAATGTGAACACTGCTCCCTCCTTGTTGGATGTAGTTTCCACACTATTGACAAAACCTGCTCACCCTCTTCCTAGTCTGCTGGTTTGTCAAGTTTACTGATGTATCTAACACCTTTGCTTTGCTCCAAAAAAGGATTTGAAACAGCCTGGCATTTCCCTTAAGACACAGCATTTGAAAAGACAGTAAGTTCTTCATATCCAAACACAGGAGACAACTAAAATATAAAAATTACTATGGCTATGCCTTTTTTTTTTTAATTTTATTTATTTTTTTTTATACAGCAGATTCTTATTAGTTATCCATTTTATACATATAAGTGTATATATGTCAGTAATCTCCCAATTCATCACACCAGGCTATGTCTTTCTTAATGAAAAATACATAAACACATAGCAAAAATCATTTGCAGAGAATCATTAAAAGAATGGCATATCACTAGCCATTCCTCATCCTGTGTTCTCTTAGCTGAGGCAAAAAATACCTTCACATAAGTAAAAAATAGCATTTGGCACCATTCAAAGCCACTTATCAGCTTTCTTTTAATCTAACAGTCACACCAACAGCCAGAGTAGAAATACTAAACCACAAAGCACTATCTGGCTGCTAAAGAAAATGCACTGATCGGGGATGATCTCCAAGACTCAAAGTGAAAACAGCAAGGACACACACACACACATATGTGTACATATGTGCACCTATACAGACAGATGCTTGTGTAACACAGAACGGCTGGGTGGGTTGTGGGGGAGGATATGAGACTGGTGGTGGTGGTGGTCTTAGGAGGAAACCTGGGGCCTGTGGGGAGAACTTCAGAAACACGTTCCTACTGTATTTTGGAAGTTTGTCCATGTGTCAACCTTACAAAATGTAATTTTAAAAAAAGAAAGAGAAGAAAGTAATACCTTTGGGTAGAGAAGAGGGGAGAAAGGAGCTTTGACTTTGATGCGCAGAGTGAAAGGTCATCTCTTGATTTTTTTCTTAAACAACCCTTTTCCCTTTTCCCGGAATTGCTGCTTAGCGACAACAGGGTGGGGACCCCTCTTTCTCTCACCAAGAACACCCCGTTCATCACACTCAATGGATACTTCTACGTGGATGGCTTAATTTCATTAGATGCTAACTGTTCGCAAATACAAATGTGGTCATTCCTTTTTGCAAAATATAAAGCTGCAGAGATCCAACTATTTCCATCCCACGGATGCCAAGTGAAGCAGTCGTCCAAGGTAAAATGACACCATCAAAAGTCACACTCCTGGTTTTATTTTAACACAGTCACACCAACCGCCAAAATGGAAGAAATCTGACACTGATAACACGTGCTCCCTTGCTAATAAATCGGTCCCGATTCTCAGTTTTAAAGAGGAAAAAAAGAATAGAAGACATGTGATGCTAAATTTAATTAGGCATTTAATAAGTGTAGTATCCCTACTTAACAAGGCAAATCCATCCTTTCCATTCTGGCTGCAGTTTATTTAAAGACTTTACAATTTTACTACTTAAGGGAGAGTCCTATGGAGGTGTTATCTCACCATTTATATTTTCACAACACTTATGATATTGCTATCACACTCTTAAAATAAATAAAAAGCCCATGCCATGTCGTAGACCAATATAATGTTACATACTCTATTTTTATTTCTGGAAATAAACATTAAAATTTTTCTGTATTGCTCACTTGATTCTTGCAATGTTGAATATTAAAAAGAAAAAAAGAGTAAAGCTAAGTTTGTTTTTTTTAAGTCCCAGGTATTACTTGAAAAGCAGAGGTTTTATCACTTGGATTTTTAAATTAGGTACTAGAAAATATATCATTAGAAAATTCTGACAACAATAGCATTTTATGACAAAATTATTATGCTTTTAATTTTCTATTAAATTGTGATTTATTAGCTTGCTACTTTAAACATTAGACTGGGTACAGAATGAATTTAGTGGTGCACTGAATGAGACAAGCAAGTAGAGGATGAACATGGAAGATGATTTAACATGGTGGTGCATGAGCTATTTGATAATTCTAACACAGTACAAAAGAAAGCTTCTCTCTAGATTGACCATGGTTCGCTTAACATCACTGAATATCTAATACCTCCAACTCAATTAATTCTCACCTGATTAAGATCAGACTGATATTCAAACTAAATCAACTCTCCAGTCAAGTAGAAATCAATATTTCTGATTTTACTTTTAAATTACAATAGAAATAAAATGTGCACATCTTCAATATGCCAAGAGTAGCTTTTCTATTCTAGTCTACCATGGCATGGATGACACAGTTGATTAAAGAATTATTCTAATTTGAGCACGAATATGTAGTCAGAATCTGATTAATTTGAACACAGAGATGGAATAAAGTAATTAAATATATCTTATACAGGGCAAATAGAATATTGACATAAAGTAAACTTGACTTCTTTAAAACAAACTTCACTATTTATCATCTCAAATAGTTAGGAATGTGCTTTTATTACAGACTGATTGCTCTCGAAGGGGAGTCTTGTTTCAGGCACAGATATTTACAAGGTGGGCAAAGAAAAGAAACAGTTCTTTTCAGGTCATCCTCTTTCCATGACAGCCACCTCCAAAAAGCATGCACACACCTAAAAACAACCAGATTACTTTTATGACTTTTCTAGAAAAAGCAGGATGTACTGAGCAGGGTAAAAATGAGTGAATTCTAAAATGACAAAAGGCTGGCACATCTGTAACTTACACAACTAAATAGAACATGAGATAGATCCTCCTCCCCTTTCACTCTTGAACACTCTTCAAATCCAAGACAGGAGAAGAGGAAAGCCCATTTGTTGGGTTAACTGAACAGAAAGTATTGTTTTGTTTGTTAGCAAACTCAACAATTCAGATGAAAATGACAGAAAAATTGCAAATTTTAAACAATACATTTAACAAAGCAAAATCACAGCTAAATGTACTATTTATTAGAACTGAAAACAATATGATTTAGAGTACTTAAGGCATGTCAAACATTGCTCATTATACATATTATGTTATATATAATATGTAAAATATTAGAAAGATTTTATATAAAATATAAAGTATATATTTATTATCTATTATATTTAAACCTCACAAAGTAGGTTATTACTACGTACTAAATAATTCATAGGTATTACTTACCTTAGGTGTACCTTTTCTCGCGTCTTAGATACCGTGTCATAGGAAAGAATTTGAGGAACCAAAGAACTATGTAAATTAACCTGGAAATTTATATTTCCAAAACTCATATCCCATGAGAAACAGCCAAACAAGTTACTTATAGACCCTAACTAGGGGCATGAAAATTAAAATTTGTTAAGATATGACACTCTCTGAAGATTTGTAGAATTTGAGGCTGGGGCTGCCTGTGCAGCATGGAATGTGGACCATCTGCATGTCAGACACAAAAGAATATTCTTGACTTTCATGAAAGACTCTGTCCTATTTTTCTTGAACCACACAGACATGTCAGTTGGATTTTCTTACAAATGAAGCGTATTTTCAGAGAAATATTTTTCTAATATAAACATTATATACGTATAATGTATTATATATGTATAATATCAAACAGTATATTTATAATATAAAATATTTCATATGTATATAAAATCACAGTGCAAGCACAAAGACTACTAAACCAGTGTACATGCCCCATGTTTAAAGGGGCAGCTGTTGCTTTATTCCAGATACTGTCTGCCTTGCAGGAATGGCAACAGAATCCCAGATCTGAGGATTCATGTTTTTTGAAAGCTAGAATTTTTGTTTTATGTAAAATCTCACAATTTTAAGTAGCTCGGTTAACTTTGTTTTCTAAGACATCATGCACAGGAAACACAAAATACAAAACACGTATGTCTGCATAGTGGTTCCTGGTGAAGGCTGATGGTCTGTGTCACCAGCTTGAAAGACTCTCATGAACACTTCAACTCCAGAATAAATATGCACACGTGGTAATCCCCTCAAATCCTACCATCACTCATTCAACAACCACTAAAGCAG